CCTTCATTCTCCAGTCTGAGTGGCGGCGCCTCTGGTGAAGGAGCTGCGGCCCCTGAGTGGGGCAGTGGGTGTGGACTCCAAGTACCCATCCCGGACATCGATGTGTTCCGATGCCACCTCTTGTCCACGTTTGATGGTGTTAGGCCTTTCCTTTTAGCTATTCTGGTGCATGTGTGGTTCTCTCGAGTTTGAAATCACATTTCTCTGACAGATGAGGCTGCACGCTTCTCATGAGCTTATTGGTCACTGGTGTGTCTTCTCTGAAGCTCGCGTCCATGCCTCCTGTCTGACAGGGGCTGCAGGAGTGCTTCATCTCCAGGCGCCATCCTTCCCGTGTGCTGTCCTGCCGGCACCTGCTTCCACCATCTGCTTGTTGGGGAACAGAAACTTTGTTTGCATAGAGTCTGATGTTTTTCTGTCTGTGCCCTACTGAAGGTTCCAGCTTACATTTTCCCCTAAATGTGATACAATGTCAGCTTTTACATTGAGTCCTGGGACCTCTGTGGGCTGTTCCTATGTGTGACCTGAGCAGGTGTTGAGGTTTGTCTGTGTCCTGAGATAGGTATGTGTTTGTTGCAGCACTGTTTGTTCGAAAGACCTTCCCACTGGGTGCCTTAGGACCTATGTTGACAGTCCAGTGACTGGAGGAAAAGACCTGATTCTGGGTGCCCTGTCCTCCTTTGACTGACGGTCTTGTGCCAGTACCTGCTGCTGTTCTGTGCAGAATGTCTTGAAGCTGGGCTGTGTAAGTAATCCAGCTTCAGCGGTCTTTCAGACTTGTGGCTTTTCTGGGTTCTATGCATTTCCATACAAATTTTAACATCAGCTGGTACATTTCTATTAAAAAAAAACAAAACTGAGCATAGTGGCGCACACCTGTAATCCTAACCCTCAGGAGGCGGGAGGATCACCATGAATTCAAGGTCAGCCTGGGCTATGGAGCGAGGCCCTGTTTTTTTTTTTTAAAAAAAGAGCCTCCTCCTTGCCCTCTGCTGCCTGCTAGGAGTGATTGAGGCTTGCTTCAAGCTGAAAGATAAATTTCAAGATGTGACATCTTTTGAGTCTTCTTGTCCATGTCCTAGTGGGTGCTCTGTGCTCCCTGGATGAGATTTGACATCTTTAAAAAGTCATATGGATTGTGTTTACTTTCTAGTACAGTTAAATCTATTTTTAAAGACTTACATTACTGCATGGATTTAAAGCTACTCTGGCCTGCATTACTAGAAGTACTTTGTGGCACAGGTAACCCAAAGTGAAAGAATAATAAAGGCAGGTCTTTGTTTTTCCCTTCAAAGACAGAGATTGAATTTGTGGGGAAACACCCTTAGAAAAAAGGGAGTGGGCTCTGCATGGACGAGTTGGAAGGCTGTGGAGGCCCCGTGGGCAAGTTGGCCCTGCTCAGGAGAGCAGCACTGGCCTGAGTGGAGAGTATCCTTCTGGCCCTCAAGGCCTTCAGGGGAAGTGTGTAAATGTCAGCCAGGTGCACCCGTGTTGTCCCAGCATGCTTGGAGGCTGAGGCAGGAGGACTGCAAATTCTGGCCCAGTGTGGGCAACTTAGACCCTGTCCTAAAATGTAGAAGGGGGGGACTGGGGGATGGGGTAGGAAATGCAAAGGCCCTGCGTTTGGTCCCCAGTGCTGTTTTAGAAAAATGTGCAACCAGAGATAGAGTTGACTCTGGGTAGAAAATGTAGCTGTCAGCAAAGCAAAGGAACATTAACATGGGCAGGTGCGGGCACACAGGACACTGCACAGCTCAGCTGTGACGTGAGTAGAGACATTGCTGAACCCTTCCACAGATGAGGCCTCTGGCTGTGTATTTACTTCTTGGTGATGCTGAGCCCCATGCTTTTTAGAAAAGGTGTGGAAGTCATTGTAATTTTCCCCATATGCAACTCCTACACAAAGAGATTTGAGGGTGCAAGACAGTGGTGGAGTGCTTGCCTAGTGTGCAGGAGGCCCTGGATTCCCTTCCCAGCACTGCAAAGAGAAGAAGAAATCAGTCACCATGATCTTAGAAACCATGTAGTATATGCAGAAATGGCATCACCTGAATGGCACAGATATTTCCAGAAGGAGAGCAAAAGTGGTGTGTGCCCCATTTTCCTTTCCTGAGGTTCTGGCTGCTGCTCACTCGTAGCGGAAGTTGGGCCTCCTCGGCTCTAGTGTGCTTGGACGCAGGTGGACATACAGTGTCCATGCACAGTTGGGTTATTTACTTGTTCAAAAGCAAAGTAGTCTTCCCTCTTCCAGTGGCCAGAGCACTAGTAGTCATGAGAGCAGCTGTCGCCGGCACCTGGGACTTCACTCCATGCTCCAGCGTGTGCCCCAGCGTGTGTCCCAGGACAGCGGGAGCCTCAGGTGTCTTATAGCTCCACGAGGATAGATGTGTTCACAGGCAGCATGACAAAGCCCGCCGTGTTGGGGTGTGAGAGGCACGGGAGTGAGCAGATAGTCCTCCCGGTGGCCAGAGCTGGATGGCGTGAGCCACAGAGTGCTCCATCCGGAGTGCAGAATGCGTTCTCATGAGCTGCGGTTGAGTGGAGCCCCGCGCTGTGCACAGCTGATTAAACATGAGGAAGAGGTGCTGTGCCCTGCCGCAGAAGCTCCAGCCCTGGGACATGGTGCGCACCGCACTCCTGAAGCCTGGCTGGGCAGGTGGTGTCCTGGAGAGGACACAGGATGGAAAGGGGAAAGAGTGAGACTTCCAAGGGCAAGGACTGACCAACAGCTCAGCCAGGTGACCAGGCCATTAGCAGGGCAGGTTGCAGTGGCAGTGAGAAGGGCCGGGAATGCAGAGTTCTGGAATCGCAGCATCCTCCACGCCATCTCCCCAGGCGGGAAGCGGCAGACAGACCAGGTGAGGATACCTGAGCAGTGCACTGGACACGGTCACTAGTGACAGGGGAGTCTGAGCAGCTGCCTTGGCCCAGAGGAGCCCAGGGAGACAAGGCCCTGGGGCAGAGAGGGACACGAGGGACGCACGGGGCAGCAGTTAACAGCTGCTGATCAGTGCTGCTTCATCAAGTGCCGGGCACAGCGAGCCCCAGGAGGCAGGAACAGCAGGGCCGGGTGTGGGCTGCAGGCACTCTACTGTCTCCCTGCTTCCAGAGTACACTAGGGACAGGAATTGAGTACAGATAAACGCAGGGAAGAAGGCGGAGTGAGCTAGAGTGCTTTTCCTGGGGGAGCATCTTGCTCAGCAGCTGACAGGCACTGGGATGCCAGGAAGAGGTGGCGTCACCTCGGCCTTCCTTTGGCTGTGTGGTGCCTGGCTCAGTGGGAGTGAGGTCAGGAGGCGCGAGGCTGAGGGTTAAGGTGGGGCTTAGCCGTAGCTTTGCCTGGCTGCACACACTGGCGTCGGCGCCAGTTTCTGCAGAGTGCTGACGTGGTCGTGCTGCTGGGGGTGGTGTTGCCATGCACAGGAGTTGGGATGAGGTGTGAGGCTGTCATCAGACTCTCAGGGTAGTTCTCACTGACCCTTTTGCTTTTACAGAGAGTCAAGAAAGACGTGGACAGAGGCACCCAGCACTCTGATATGTTTCTGCTGAAGCATGAGGAGGGGGGCGAAGGTACTGCGCTGGCTGCAAGGACACCGCCTGGCTGTGGGCAGAGGGCAGCAGGGAAGCGCATGCTCCCTCCTATGGATGTGAGGCTGGCAGGGACAGCACAGTGCCCGGGACTTGGGTGCGGCCAGGGTGCCCTGCCTGTGAGCAGCATGCCCTTAGCGTGTCCCTGTACTCTGCAGCCCGAGTCCCTTTGCATGCCTGATGGTGACAGCTCATGCCCCTGGGGGAGGGTGTCACAGAAGGCACCTGGGGGCAGGGTAGCTGTGTACACGGCCTCAGGCCCCATAGCTGTGCAAGGAAGCTGGGTGCTGTGAGTGGCTTGGGGGAAAAAAGGGAAGGAGGGGGCTGCTGCTTTGAGGTCATTTTTGGACCTTTTAAAGAAGTTCTGTTCGTTTTATTTGAAGTGATACCGGAGGTTGAACCTAGGGCCCCACACTGAAATACATCCCCTGTCCCCTTTCTGCTTTTAATTTTGAGATAGAGTTTCACTAAGTTGCCCAGTCTGGACTTGACCTTATGATCCTCCTGCCTCAGCCTCCCAGAGTGCTGGGATTACAGGCATAAACTACTATGCCTGGTAAAATCTTATCTGTGTTCTGTGAGTGGCGGGAAGATTTTCCTGTGTACTTCACACCAGACCACATAAGTCAGACACCTGCCAGAAGGAGCAAAGAGCAGGTCTTGGCAGGGGAACCACGGACGCGAGCCATGAGGGTCTAGGTCTAGACTGGCGTGATGTGGACCTGGGAGGGGGACAGGACTTCAGGCGAGGCCACACGCGCCCTGCGCACGCATCCTCAGGTCCTGATTCCCTCGCGAGGCTGAAGCCTCCTGTGGTCTCTTCCACACTGCCTTGCCTGCCGTGCCATGGCCCCCGGCAAGGACGGGCTGGGTCCTTGCTGGCGCTGGGCACAGAAGGAGGCAGCGCAGGGAGCGTGAGGCGGTCTGTGTTGTTGTTCTGCAGAGCAGCAAAGGAGGCACTTGTGTTCCTGCCTGTGGCCTCCTCGTCTGTGGGCACTCGGCGGCTCCTGGCATCTTCGTCTGGCGCTCAGGTCCCCTTTGCTTTCTCAACCAGTCTCGTTGTTTTCCTGCAGGCAGATGGGTGTGGACCCGGATGAACCCTTCAGGGGTCAAGCCGTCACCCAGGTCTGGCTTTTCAGTGGCCGTGGCCCCCAGTCATCAGACGCTGCTCTTCGGGGGTGTCTGTGACAAGGAAGAGGAAGAGAGCCTGGAGGGGGTGTTCTTCAATGACCTGTACTTCTACGACGCCACCAGGAACCGCTGGTTCGCAGCACAGCTGAAGGTAGCTGGGCTCAGAGCACCACGTATCACAGAGCACCACCCAGAGCACAGTCCGGGTCCATTCTCCACGTGTGTCCCCATTTCCTTGTCACCAGTGGGGTATCCGGGCTCTTGGTGCCCACACATGCTCCAAGAAGGGGTATTCCTGCGTCTGTCTGTTACCCAGGTGACAGCTTGGGGCCCTCGGTCTGGAGCCCTCAGCCCATCCTGGTGTAGCCAACGGTGCTCGCTAGGCCCTGACCGAGATCGGGGTGGGGGTGGGGGCGGGCCCTGGCCCATCTGTCTGACAAGGCTGTGTCGTGGCTCTCAATAGTGCCTCTGGCCTGAGCTTGCCCAGGTTTCTCATTAGGCAGCTGCTACCCAGGACCTGCCCAGTACAGGCAGAACAGTGGGTGACAGTCCTAAGAGGAGACCCCCGTCAGCCTCAGGGTCTGCATGTGTCGGGTCAGCCGACTCTAGAGGTGCCCTCCTGCAAGGCCTGCTGCGGCTCTGGCTCAGTCAGAGCTTGTAGAAGCCAGGGTGTATACGGGCGGCTTGTTGTGAGGAGGACCACGGCGCAGAGGCTGTGCAGGGGTCTCCTCTGGTTTTCCAGAGCACTGAGCCCAGACAAAGGGTGTGCTGTTCCCAAACTGCTTGCCGCCTCAAGAGGGTCCCCCACCTCCCGCCGCCAGCTTTCTTTCCTTGATGTGTCCCGGGTGTGGAGTAGGTCTTTGTATCTCGAGTGTGGATCGGATGTGGGTAGACCGGAAGGTAGTGGCAGTGGAACATTTGGATGTAACATGGCAGATGTCATCTGGTGAGAATGATGTTCTGTGAGGAAACAGCAGAGGCAGCAGAAGGGTCTGGACAGAGCTGCACCCAACCAGGGAGATGGGACAAGTCAGACGCACAGGGGTCCTGAGGAGGAGCCTGGTGGGAGAGCTCCTGGGGCGCACGGAGGGGTCGTGGGCCCTCTGCAGGGGGCTGTGCTGCAGATCAGCTGCTCCGTAGGCCAATGTGACTCACTCTGTCCTTGGCAGAGGGTGGGGTTGGGAGTCACTGTCTTCTACAGCCTTTTAGGGAGAGTTGGATTCCCAGGAACCGAGCAGCTGGCGTGAGCCTGGATGTCCACTGGGCCTTGTTGTGCCGCGTCTCCTCCCTGTGTGAGGGTGCAGGGGCTCCCCAGAACCCGCTCGGGAGGCGGTGGCAGGTCTGGCTGGAGGGGGAGCTGCTCTTGTCCCCATAGGCCCCTAGGTGGCATTTGGGACAACACTGCACCCTGCTGTGCTCTTCACCTGGGCACTGAGCTCTTGTTCTGTTGACAGGGTCCCAAGTCTGAGAAGAAGAAACGGAGGCGGGGCAAAGCAGAGGAGCACACCGGTGCCAGCGGGCAGGAGCCTGGGCCAGCCGGCGCCTCAGGGCCCCTGGAGGTGGTCACGGAGGTGGTGGCTGAGGATGGGACTGTGGTCACCATTAAACAAGTGCTCCAGGCCTCAGGCCCGGTGGGGCCGTCCTTGTCTGAGGACGAGGACAGTGCCTCAGAGTCCTGCAGCCCCAGGGTCCAGCCGTGCCCGCGGGCCAGTGCCATGCTGGCCGTCAAGCACGGGCTGCTGTTCGTCTATGGGGGGATGTTTGAAGCTGGCGACCGCCAGGTGACCCTTAGCGACCTGTACTGCCTGGACCTGCACAGGATGGACGAGTGGAAGGCCCTGGTGGAGATGGACCCAAGTAAGCCGGCGGGGTTGTGTGCGTGCCTTCTTGTCACCCAAGACGCTCATCAGTAGTGCCAGGGAGCCTTGCAGGGTTTGTACTCACCTCTGGGCCACTTTCCTAAGACTGGGACCTGGGGAGGGCGCTGTGATGGCTCAGGATAGGGCCCCTGGGCAGGATCTGGCACATGTGTGATATGCTTTCTGACCCCTCTTCAGTCCCTGGCGTTGAGCCTACGGCTAGTCTGGCTTCTTTCTTTTTATTATGTTTTTTTTGTTTTGTTTTGTTTTTGTTTTTTGAGACAGGGTCTCACTATGTAGTCCAGGCTGGCCTTGAACTGAAGGTGATCCTCTTGCCTCAGTCTCCCGAGTGCTAGGATTATAGGCGTGTGCCACCGTGTCCTATTCCTCATTTCTCACCCAATCTCTGCCACTGTTCTTTGAGCTCTCACACCTCCAGTTTACTCTGTACTACTGACGGACTCAAGCTGTGACTCATTTTCTTAAAGACTAAAAGCAGAACTAGGAAAAGGCTCGAAGCTGTGTGTGTCTTCCGAGCACCTCAGCCAGGTGCTAGGGCTGAAGCAGGCTGAGAAAGAAGCGGCCTCCGCTGTGCTTCCCGCATCCATGGGGAGCGTGGCTCGTGTTCCTGCCTGCTCAGGTCTCGCCCTGTCTCAGCTCTGGTTCCCCACCCAGTCTGGTTTCCACTGGTCCCAGGTGTCGGGCAGGGAAGTTAGGGCTCATGTCCTAGGGTCCTCTGTCCCCGGTTCCTGTACCCTGGGCCACGGTGGTAATCTCTGTGTTTATTTTGCCTTGGAAGAGACCCAGGAGTGGCTGGAGGAGACGGACTCAGATGAGGACAGCAGCTCAGCTGAGGGTGCAGAGGGAGGAGATGAGGACCAGGACGAGGACAGTGAGGAGAGTGACGAAGAGCAAGGTGAGCTTTTTGCTGCAGTGTGACTTGGTGTTGAGTGTTGAGTTCTGAGCGGATGCAGTTGCTGGTGTGGCTCTGGCGGCTTGCTGTTGCTGGCGGCGGCGTGTGGCCTCTCCGGAGTCCTGTGAGTCGCTATCTGCTCTGGGTTGCCCTCTTGCTGAGTGTCTCTCTTCTATTGCCCTTTTCTGGAGAAGAGGAGCCACAGCACCCAGAAGTGGCACCTGGGGAGCAGTCCATGGACTACCTGGCCAGAACGGAGCAGCATTGGCTGAGGCTTGCTCGTGACAACCTGGGGCCAGACCCCAAAGAGAAGAAAGTGCTGAAGGTGGCCCAAGCCATGGCAAAGACGTTCTTTAATGACTCAGCTCAGAGGGCTGCCAAGGCCAGCAGTGAAGTCGAAGGGCAGTGAATTCCCTTGGTGCTGGTGGGTGTGAGCCAGGTGCCACAGGGGTCACCTTCTCAGCCTGGCGAGGGTGCTACCCTGCTCCTGGGGCTCCACCCACAGGGGAGGAGCAGCCCCACCCATCTGTCATTGGGAAGCTTCAGGGGAGGCCATTTGGAGGGACTCACAGAAAGGCTGTTTCTCTTCTAATAAAACAACTCTATGCTTTGTGGGGCTTTTCATTCTACGGAACGAGGAGATGCGTGTTCAGATGAACATCGTCAGATGGGACCATCTCTGATGCCTAACCATTACAAAAACAGCCAAGTCTCCGTTATCTTTACAGTGCAATGCCTGCTGCCTATGGCTTGGCTTCGTTTGCTCTGTAGGTCTTTTGGCAAAAAGTTTTGGATGTTTTTGTGTCTACCTCTTCCCTTGTGGAAGGACCTGGTGGAGACTGCTGTTAGCAGAACGACAGAGGAACAGAAGCTGGAGGGCCAGGGCCCCCACCACCCCTCCCTGTGTCAGTGTCTAGCACCACCTGGTCCCGGTGCTGGGGATGCACTGCATGGCAGTCTGGTGTCCTAACACGGGGACAGGCGCCTGCTCAAGTTGGTGACAGGAGGTCAGTCTGTATTTTGCGTAGTTGGGAACAAAAGTTGGGCTTTCAGTTAATACTGGTGCAAGTTCCCTTTCATCTTGCTTTTTTGTTGTTCTTTTGAGACAGGGTCTCACTATGTAGTTAGGCTGGCCTCAAACTCTTAGTCTTCCTGCCTCAGCCTCCCAAGTGCTGTGATTACAGGTGTGCACCACCATGCCCAGCTCTTTGTTGATCTTCAGTAGTGAGCATATAGCATTTACGGTTTCCTGTCTCATAGTGTAACCACTGTGCCTCCTGCTCACCACCCTGGAGTTAATGGAAAGGTGGGAATACCTGGCAGAGCAGGGCTCAGGTTGCACAAGCTGTGCTGGGTGGGAGAGAGAGGGGCCGCTGTGACTGGAAATGGTTTCATGCTTTTGCAGCTGTTGCCTTCTCTAGGTGCATCAGTGCATCAGCCCCAAGAAGACCAGGGCCACTCAGGGCGGGCACTACCATGTACAGGCTCAAAGTAGATGGACGCATGTGCCGAGCTCTATTGGCTGGAGCTGCTGCCGGCTGGATTGGAACAAGGGTGCGCTTTGGTGGGCAGGGTGAGCCCTGGCCCCGAGGGACCCCACCCCATTGCACGGCCCTCACAGTCTGTTGGTCCCACGTTAAAGCTCCTCTGGCTAAAACTAGAAAGCTTCAGGTCCCGTCCCCTGGGGCGTATCAGCTGTCCACCTGTGTGGGCTGGGGCCAATCCTGTCCTTTGGTTCTTGGTCCTGTCTACAGAGGCGGAGGGGAACGTGGCACAGCCAGCAGCAGTGGTGGTCAGCTTGGCCAGTGTGTGTGCAGGGTGCATCGGGTGGGAGGGGCCGAGCTGAGCTGTCTCAGCATAGCCTTTGCACACTGCCTCTTGGGTGCAGTTGGGGCTTTCTCCAGCATTCTGGGTGGAACTAGTCGGTGGGTGAGAACGGGTTGAAGGCCCTCAGTGCAAAGGGCAGGAAGAACCCACTCCTGCCGTCCTTGCTTGCAGGACAGCTCATCCAGTGGATTCCTTCTCTGTTCCTGCTTTGCAGGAAATTAGCAAAGACCATTTTCCTTTCAGAGTAGCCAGTAGCTAGGTAGGCTTTGACAGAAGGCTTTTTGAGTCAGTCATGGTGGAGCAGAGGCCAGATTCTCTGGAGTGTCAGCTGGTACACATGTTTTGCTGAGCTGCTGAAGATGCAGATGGTGTGAATGGGGCTGCTCAAAACCGCAGACTGGCTGATGGCAGCGCTGCATTGGCACACTTGCAGTGTGAGCAGTGGGGAGAGGTAAGCGTGCACCCGGGGCCAGGCAGTCCCTGAGGGACATTTGCATTGTGAGCGGCAAGTTGGCTGTACTGGAAGCAGCAGCGTGTCACCATGTTCAGGGTGAAGTACAGTGGCCTGTGTGTCCGTGGGAGCGGCCATGGGTGTCCCACTCCCCCTGACTCCAAGGCTGGTGTCAGGGAGCCCTCCTGCCTGTCCGCCCTGTCACATCTGCAGTCTGGACAGATGCCCAGGTAGGACTCCAGCTCGCATGTGTGGCGGCACGTGTGTGGCGCAGGCAGCTTGTGTGGAGCATGCATGTGGCTCCTCCCTGCCTCCTTGGAGCGCCTGAGCTGGCCTTGTAGGCTGTGCTGTGTTACGGTGAGCTGGAGGGGTTCGTTACAGGTGCTGAATTGTTTGGGTTGGTTGAATTGGACAAAAATGACCAGCCACTGATTAAGGTTGGAAAGCCTTTGAGTTTGTTTTGTTCGGGGTTTTTTTGAGGTGTAGTAGTGGTGGTTACTCTGTGTGAAAGCTGATTTTTTTCACTGAAGTGGTACAGAGGGGGTTCATGGCTGGGTGACAGAAATCTTTCTAGGACTGTACTGGAAGAAGCCTCTGCGATAGAAACAGCCAGTTCATGTCACAGGTGACCAGAGACAACCCATACTTGGAAACCCCCTGTGCAGATGTGTGGCAGTGAAGGAACATGTGCGGGTTGTTGGCTTTCTGTAGAGGAGTTGTCTAGGGGGAGATAGCGTTCCCTCTCAGGAGCAGTGATCGGCTCCAGCCTAGGGAGCCTGAAGGTAGGCTACCGCCCTGGCAGGCCCCGGGACCGTGGGTGACTGCTGCTTCCTCCGGCCTGGTGGCTCACGTGTGGGAGCAGGTGTGTGGACACCTGAGGCTGGCTCGGGCAGGGCCCAACACTCTTCAGAGACCAGTCACTCTGCTTCACCAGATCTGAGCAGGGCACCCCAGAGGGCACACATGGTCCCCAGAGGAGACTGAGGCACCATTGCCACAGCTGGTGGCCACAGTGCAGGGGCCACCACAACCCAGGCACCCCTGAGTCTGGCATCGTCCCTCACCGCAACCCCCCTTGGCCTGGTGGGTTGCTGGGAGGCTCCTGGGGCTCTGCCTGGAGAGGGACAGGGCAGTTGCCCCAGAAGAAATGAAAGCGGAAGATGAAGGGCATGAAAGTAGTTTTCAAGGCCACACCGTGCAGTCCTGGATGGCAGAACCTGCCCTGTCCATCCCCATGTCCTCTGTGCACGGGTGTGTGCTGTGGCCGTTGCCTGTCACCCGCCTGGCCTGGGAGAGTGGGCATCCTGCTGGGCACCCTCGCCTCACAGGTGCAGAATGTGGTCAGGACAGGCAAGTTAGGCCCAGCGCCTGGTGAGTGAAGGAAGCAGTATCATTACCCAGAAAAGGCAGAGCTGGGCGGGCTCGTTTATTTCACGTCTGCATTTACCAGCTTCCCCTGCGCAGAAAGTCCTCTGGGTGTTTCAGACATCACTATCAGGTGGTACAGCTCTGCGCCTTACTGAGGACCTGGCTTTATCCATCCTGTGCCCTGGTGGCAGAAGGGACTTCAGGTATAGACACTGGTTTAGAATGAGGTGACACAAGTTTTCCATAGTTTCAAAGGACGTTTATTACTAAAAGGAGCAAACTATCTTAATCTCAACGGTGTCCCTTGCTTTTGGATGGAGACATACATAGCAGTGGTATTTATCTGAACAGTTACATTCATCAGAGAAGGTTACTTTGTTTCCAGTTTGTAATTAACCAAGCCATTTCCAGCTGAAACAAGACAAGCCAAAGGGACTCTAGCCACTGTGTCCACAGGAACAATCAGTACATAGCTGGCATTTGCTTCGCAATCACACTGCATTTGCAAATGGTTACATGCGCCAGGGGAAAACACTGAGAAGAGATGCAGGTGAAGACTGCTAGGTCAGAGTTCACTAAGAGGTGTCTACGCCCAGGTCCGCGGTCTCACGCCCTCAGGGGCTTTCCCTCAGGCTGCAGGGTGGCATTTCTTTGGAAACCGTGAATAGTGCAGATGGACAGTCCAGTTAAAGCAGTCAGAATCCACTTGCTGGAAGGGAGGAGCAGCAGGTCGGGGTTAGGTCTGCCAGCCCATGGGCACCCGATATCACCAGGCCCTGATGACGCCCATGGGCCATGGACCAGCAGGCTGAAGGTGCTTCCATGGACCGGAAGCCGGGTCTCACGTGGCCCACATCCACGTGGCTGGGGTTCCTGGACACTCAGCCTCAGACCAGAGGGAGGGACAGTGCCCTGCACCACTCCACTGTGCCCTCATACCCTGCAACGCCTCTAGCCTGAGGAGCCACCCTGGGCATGACGCCCAGCCCACCTTGCTGACCAGGATCTGCCTTGTGAACCTGGGATAGGGTGGGAGGTTTCTGCTGAAGGTGAGCTGTCTCCCATTCTAAAATGATGATGTTGAAAGCAGGGTGTAATCCCAGCACTTGGGAGGCTGAGGCAGGAGGATCACTGTGAGTTCAAGGACAGCCTGAGCTACAAAGTGAGTTCAAGGTCAGCCTGAACTGCATAATGAGACTCTGTCCCAAAAAGACAAAAACCAAAACAAAACAAAACAAAAAGACATTGAGAAAAGGGGGTAACCCTGGGCATGACCTTGCTGGGGGGTGAGAGGCACGCAGCACCACGACGACTCTGTCTGCATAGGACCCCATGCAGGAAGCTTGGTGGTTTCAGGTGGCACGGCGCCTCGCAGTCAGGTTGGGGGTGGCAGGGACAGATGCGCACTCACTGTCTGTGAGCAGCCGCTGCGGTGCTGGCCTGACTGTCACAGCTGGGCGAGTCATCAGGATGGGCAGAGTGCAGAGTGCCAGCAGGTGCCAGCAGCAGGACAGCACCTCAGCCACCAGGGGTCAAGGAAGCTTCCCCAGTCTGGGCTGCAGCTGTCACCAAGCAGGGGAGGCTGAGCTGGAGGCCTGTGACCCCATGCAGCTCAGACGTGGAGACAGTAGTTAGAGGGGTGTATACACATGGGGGGCTCAGCAGCCTGGCACTCAACCGAGCGCCTGTCTGAGAGAGTATTTTGTACCTTGCACAATGGGTGGGTGCGGGTGGGGCCAGGCTGGGCCAGAATGAGGTAGGTATACTAGGTTGCTGCCTGCTGTCATGTGTGCTCTGCTGTCCCCCAACCTGTGCCTCCCACCACCAACTCCCCACTTCTCTGAGGGCAGGAACAAGCTGGAACAAAATGTGTTGCCCCACTTGGATCTCAGGTCCTTCCATTTCTGGATTTCATTTGGAAAAGAACTCTTAAAACCAGCGTTTGTGCTAGCACAGAGGCTGAAGTTCAGAGCCTGCCGTCCTCTGAGGCACTGTCATGGGTCCCTGTTCTGGCAAACACTGGTGACCACACAGGTTTCCTGCCTGCACCGGCTCAGGTGCCTGCACCCTGCAGCTGCAATGGTCAGGAGGGCTACAGGGTCTGGGGCCCGCAGCCTGGTTTTCCTGCTTCACACCCCGCTTTGTTCCTGAGTTTGCACCTCGGCGTACGACTGCACTGGGAAGATGCAGCTTAGCTCTTATTTTAACAAAGGCCACTGTACTTTTTCTTGCTTCTTGTAAGGCTGAGTTAGCAACACTTCTTGGCACTTGGGGACAGATTGTTTTCTCAGTCTGTGCTGACTGCATTGCCCACAGCAGCCAGGCCTGGACCAGAGGACAGCTAAGCAGACCCCTGAGCTGACGCACAGCCGGAGCCCCGCCTCACTCCCTCCATCAGGGCTCACTGTCCTGCCTTCTGCAGGAGCGGGATCTTGTCCTAGACAAGAGTAGAATTCCTGTATGAAAACAACCATCGCCATGTATATTCCAGGTCGTGGAATACAGAGTCCTTTCTCAGCTGTCCCTGTCCGTTGATGGTGGGAAAAATCAGGAGTCGTGTAGCTGTGGAAATAAGTTTTTAATTCTAGTAGGCACCTTTATGCTGTTTATAAGACCAAAGGCAAGAAAAGTTGGAAGACAAGACCTATGAAGAGTTAATGAAACCGAGTTTAATGTGGAAGAGAAAGCGGTCCCTTCACCCAGTGTCTTGAGCAGTGTCCAGCACACGTGGGGAGGAGTGAGTGCCCGTCCAGGAGAGGCCTCAGAGCAGTCAGGGGTCCTGGCCATGTGACCCAGCGCAGTCCCCCTGGGTTGTGGCACTGTTGCCATTTGGGGGCCAGCCTGGGCCTCCAGCCCACAGGTCCAGGCAGGAACAGGCCCGCCCAGAGGAGCACTGGTGCTGATTCAGATGTTTGGAAGGCTTTAAAGGACAGCAAAAAACAAAGTACCAAAAACGTTTTCTGTGTACGCTGAGTGTTCATCTAGTCGACATCCTCTGTGCCGCCCGTGGGCTTCAGCGGTGACCTTCATTTGCATGTTTCACAGGCCAGTAGGAGCACATGGAGTTGGGGCCAGGACACCTGCACCCCGGGCGCCATCGCACGGCCCAGGGCGGGCCAGGGCCAGGGCCAGGGAGGGCAGGCCACGGTCTGGCTTTGTGCGTCGCTGAGCGCTGTGCCGAGTGCATGTGAGGAGGAGCCCGTCACACTGTGCTCACTGTGTGCAGTCGGGAGAAGTTTCCAGTGCTAGGGAGGTTTGATGGGGCACAGTCGGTCAGGAGTCTGTCTCGGAGCCTTTCCCTCCACTCAGCAGTCAAACTAGTGCATCTCAGTAGCAGTGATGAAGTTTTCTGTATCATCATCTTCCTTTTCCATTATTTTGGACCCTGATACATGCCTGACCGTATCTTCCAGTCCTGTGTGCTAACAAACTTAAGAGTACAAAAGAATGGGTATTTTTCACTTGCCTGAAGTTATCCAAGCACTCTGTATGCACTAAAAAACTCCAGAAGGCACAAGGACACCCAGCTGTAGGGTTTCCTCGGACTTCTGGAAAGGGACAAAGCCAAGCTGCAGGCACACAACACCTCTCCTCCCTCTTCACAGCAGGTTTCCAGGAGCCAGAGAGGTGTACCCAGAAGCAAGGTGGTCTGCACCCTGTGGGGCCTGGCGGGACTTGGGGATAGGCACATAACTCTCTGCGTCCAGTTTTCACGTGTGGAGCATGGAAGAAGCTGTTGAGGGTAGGAAATGGTTCTGATGAGGCTGCTTTGGTCTTCAGACACATCAGCTGCTGTACACTGGGACCTGTCCTGCTGTGTCTGCTGCTGTCCGCTTGCTTGACACCCTGCATCTCCAGTTGCAGGGCAGGGAGACAGGCTCTGGACAGACAGGAACAGCTGCTGGCTACAGCAAGGTGCCCTGTGCGGAAGCCAGCCAGAGGGCAGCTTTCCGGGGTGCCTTAGACCTGGGGTGTCTTGGTCTTGAGCAGATCCACTCCAGATTCACCGAGAGTGTCAGGGAGATGGCTGTGCCCTCCACACATGCTGCAGACAAGCGCAGGGGCTACATTCCGTCCTGTCCTGGCAGCAGACAAGTGCTGTGTTGGTCAGTCCCCTGTGAGAGCCACCTGGGCAAGGAGCCACTAGTGCTGCTAAGGGACATTCGTGTCCCTGCACTGGGCTGTGCATGTCTTGTGCAGGTGTGTACCTGCAGCAGAGGGTACCCTCGTGTGTCCAGCATTACCGGGGTATACAAAAGCCTGGAATCTGTACAAAGAGTCTCATGCAGAAGTACAAAACACATATCCCACATGGATGTTCTTAGGGCTACAAAGAGCAGGAATCTTTATTTGGTTCACTTCAGGTCTGCAGCAACCACTTGTTATTAAAAAAGAGGAACGGAAAGTAAGATGTACAAAAAGATGTAATATCCCTTTAAAAAGCAACATTATCAGAAATGTACTTTGTCACCTCCTGAGCCTCCCTCCCTCTCTTCTGTCCCCTAAGCCAACCGTGAAGGAATGGGGAGTGAATGGATAACGGAAAACAATAAAACTAAATGTAACTGGAACATGCTCTAATCTTTAGTTTATTTCTGGTTAAAAATATAGCAATCCAGTGCAGTGTAGTAAAGAAATCTGCTCGAAAGGTAGCAGAGAAACAGCTAAACATAAGCAAAGCAAGGCAGAGTCCATGAGACGGGCTGTACCCAAGAAGACTGACGGGAAGTCACATCCAGGGCCTCCTCAGGCAGGAGCACAGGGTCCTGCACGCGGATGCACCTGGACCGCTCCGGGCACGTCTGTGCACATGAGAGCTGGGGCCATGGGCCCCGCGCAGCCCTGCTGCCTTGTCGGGTGGCGGGGCAACCCTGGGAGAGGAGGCAGAAACGGAAGGGACCTGTTTGTGTCTGACGGAAACAAGTACAGTGCACATCAGGGAGGTACTGGATATGCAACAGTTACTAGGGAATTTCAAGCCATTGGGCTTCAATGACATTCCTGTCCCGGGGCCAGACCCGCTGTGGAGCAGCACTGAGGCATCTGGAGGGAATATGCATATCTGTTGGGGGAAGTTGAGGCAGGCACAGTACAAAGATGTGAGAACCCGTGGAGGTCAGTAACAGCAAGAAGTGACGTCCCATATGGGCTGTCACTGCCAGGGACACAGAAGCCTGAATATACATCCTGCATACTAAGTGCAAAAACGCCACATGCTCAGAGCCCAGGCGTGTGTCAGACCGTCCGTGGCACAGGGCCCCAGCCCCTCTGCGTGCAGATGTGTCCGGCCGCGTCGGTCGGCCCTGGACGTCCGCAGCACAGCCTCCCTGGGTCTGGGGGGAGGATGGCTGGACGGGGCAAACAATGAGCGAGCGGAGGACAGCAGAAAAATAAAGACTGCTTTAAGACTCGTGTGGGGAGGCGGCCTCACAAGGCCGCGGGGCAGTGCCGAGAGGGGAGGGGGTCGTGGTCTGTTTTTTGGGGAGAAGAGGCCTCGCCCTCTCCTCCCTGAAGTGTGCAGCACAGATTTAAAGTAGAAAAGGCCTGGGCTGTCCCAGCTGGGATGGGACCCCTGTTTCCTGTGCCTCACACCCAGACGCGTCACCAGCTATCCCAGACAGAGGAAAGGAGTAGCTCAACTTCCCGTGTCAGCCCTCATGTGGCTGCTGTCCCCCCGCCTGGCTAGCTGGGCTCTCCCAAGGCCGCTGCCTTCCGCACCCCTGACCGGAGGTGTGAGGACAGTGCCCACGTGACCACATTTTCTTTTTTGCTGCTGGTTTGCCAGGATCCCTTCTCTCCACATCAAGCTGGAGGGTCGGCGTGCTGGCCTCCTTCTGCCATGCCACACAGCATAGTGTTATACAAGCAAGGAATTTTGGCTAAAATCCAAAAACATTACCCAGAAAAAAAGGCAAACTGTGAGTAATACCCAATCATGTTGTTCTTCTGTGAAAGACTCGAAGTCGTGGGGCTGTCCCAGCTAGGATCTTCCCTTCTTCTTCTGTGGTTAACGGTCTTCTGTGCACCGTTACTTCTGCAATCGAGACAATCATCTCAGATGAAAAAGTTAATAAACAAAATGGCAACTCCAATGTTGAGCAGGATCACCATGACGACCAGAATGGGAGCCGAGCCCTGGAACAAAAGGGAGAGGAGAAATGAGGGTGGCTGCCACTGGCCGCCCATCCCATCCCAACACAGACTGGGAGGCCCTGGGTGGGGCCGGGAGGACAAGACGAGTCATTTCTGTGGCCGCAGGTGGTGGGACTGTGCCATGGGAACCTCGGTCAGCTCCCCAGCACCTCTGGGTTGGAACCCAGGCCCCTCTGAACAACTCAGGCAGCAGGCACCTCCTGTAGAACTGGGGTGTCAGCGTGGCGGCTGAGCTTAAGATGCTGCGCTCATCCCCCGTGCCACAGACTGCATCAGTCGTGGTCTCAGGAGAGCCATCCTCAGAGACCAGCTGTCACAGTACTGAAAGCACATGCCTGCCGCGTGGGGGTGGCCGCCTCCTGGAGGGACCTGGCCCAAGAATGAAAGATGCCCATGCAGCCCCCTCCTTGCCCAGGGCCACAAAAACACGAGCTGACCAGGCCTGGCATCCTCTGCAGTGCTGCCCCTTGTCTGCCCATAGCATGAGCAACCTGGGAAGGACATCTCTCCCACCATCCCTGCTGGCCACAGAGAGGAAGCCACACGTGTGCCTATGCCCAGGCTGGCTGCAGAATGCTGAGCAGGGAAGCTCTGAGCATCCATGGCTCCCTGGGGCGGAGACCTTGCTACTGTGGGGGCCAGGCCTTGGCCTGCACGCCAAGGCCTGAGACAGCCACTTCCCTGCCACTGCATCCCTTCGGTGGTCATATCTTGGAAACACAAATGAGGGTGGCTTTCTCTGGCTGAGCAGTAGCCGGAAGGACCTACCCCCAAGAGAAGCTCACAGCTACCTCCTCCCTGTCAGGTGACTGGAAGCGTAGCTGTTCCCCAAAAGTTTCATCAGAATTACATGACCCAGTTCCTCACAGCTACATGTGTCGCCCCCAAGCCACTCAAAGTGTGTACAGGAGTGCTCACAGCACCCTGAAGGTGGAAACCAGGTGTCCACAACAGATGGCTGGGTCAGGAACCTCGTGCCTGCACAGCGGAAGGCCACTCAGCTGTGATGAACAGGGAGGCCCTGGCTTGTGCGTCACAGGCATGGAAAACACAGTGCCAAGCGAGGAAGCCAGACAGAGGCCACTTCCTGTGTGAGCCCTCGACATGAGCTGTCTGGAAGAGGCAAATATCCATGGACAGGACACAGAGCTGGCGCCAGGCAGGCTGTGGAGGGACTGCACAGTGAGGGGTCTGTAGGGTGAGGGGAATGTGGGATGACAGCCTTCAGTACACTAAAACCACTGCGTTGCCCTTCAGACAGCTGAAGCATGTGGTATGTGAGTTGTCAGTAAAACTTCACCAGGAGAGCAGGTGTCCACAGAGGGAGGTGCAGGCCTCCTAGGGAGCATGTTCCAGAGCCCTGGCAGGGGTGTCACGAGAAGCCCTGGGCCCTGAGCAGTCATGAGGTGCACAGCCACAGCCCTCACCACATGCAGGTGTCCCTGGGTGCTTACCATGCCCAGTGAGAAGTGGCCCAGGATCCCACCAGTCTGCACATCTGTGTCCCCAGTCAGGTGTCCCTTGGCTGTGCCACTAGCTTGACACCTGCACAGTGTCCTCAAGACAGCCACCAGGTCACCTGCCAAGGACACTGGGAGCCCGACAGTGATGGAGGTCTTACATGTGAACTCTGCAGCTGGTGAGCACATCTCCAGCTTGGCGAAACCTTCAGAGATGGGCCTTGGTCTCCAAACCACTGAGATCCGAAGCCAGGCCTGCCCAGCCCCAGACCTCACAGCCCCATTAGGCTCTGCTCTGCACCCCCAGTGGGGCATCTCGGTCTGCTGAGCTCCTGCATGAGCCTTCCCAAGAGAGGTGCTGCCTGCCAGGGACACGCTTGAGAATCTTTAAGAAGGCAAGAAATTTGCTCAGCTAAATTCCGGGCAGCAAAGGGCTTTCTAAACTGGCCAAGTTGGCTGAGGGAGGAGGACACAGGTGGCCAGCCTAGGCTCTGGCCACCCTGGGGGCAGCAGAGTGGGATCCCGGGGCTTTGCCTGGCAGGAGGGAGTGAGCTGGTCTTGGGACCTTGTCCTCATGAAGCAGAGAGAGCTGTTTCTGAGATGGCAAGGCCTTGGCATGAGTGAGATACCTAGTCCGCCTCCTCCACGGCACTGGCTGGGCCAGCCCTTCAGGACAGGGAAATGCTGAGGTGGGCTGCCTGCCACCCTCATGAAGGGACGGAGATGGTTGCTCGAGTCCCAAGGCAGGGGTGGGGCAGGGCTAAGCAGGCACCCAGGTGGGGGGATCCTAGGAGTTCAGGGGGCCTGTTCTGTCGCCTGCAGCCACCACAGCCATGGCAGTCACGCATCACTTCACACGGAAATGCCCAGGGATGGAGCAAAGGGCAGATATGCAGAGAGCACCCTGGTGTACCCACCCATGGTGACTGCATCCGTGGGCCAGCACCCAGCCCTCCTCCAGCCCTTGAGTCCCCAAAGATGAGCAGGGGGACCTGAGCCCAGGCTGGGCATGCGGTGGGAGAACCCCAGGCTCTAGCCTGAGTTGGGCCGGGCTTCGCCCATTCCCTACCCGCAGGTCTCGGCCTCCCCTCCCCACTGCCTGGCTGCCTAGGCAAGGGAGATACCCCCGACCAGAGGACACGGGCACAGTGAAGTGTGCAGAGCTGCAACACCCAGCCCTCCCAAAGGCCACTCACTGTCCCCACCGTGAACACTGCCACGGCAGGCCACCTCCCAGGTCCCTCGCAAGCAGGGCTCCTGGGCAGGGCTCAGGGACAGCTGTGTCCTTGACACCCTTCTCCCCTGGTGACACCCTTCTCCCCTGGGACAAGTGCATGAGGCCTTGCCTGCCGCACAGGACTCTGGGACCCAGGGCACCCCCTGGGGCTCCTTCCAGGTGGACCCACGGGCCAGGCTACCCACTGCAGAAGCCCCATGCTGGCCAGCTCCAGGGAGCTTGGATTTGAAGCAACCGGAAAAGCCACCTCGGTTAAGCAGGCTAAATATAGAGCCCGTTCTGCATCTCCCACCCCTGCCCATCACTCTGCATCCCTAAAATAGCCACGCGCACACAGCCGGCTGCTGCCACGTCGGGAGAAATAAAGCTGTAAGTGCGAGCTGGTATTTCGGTCCCAGCAGAGTACTCGGGCTGCCTCTGGGCATGAGGGAGGAGTGCGTCTCAGGGGGCAGCCAGGCTTCAGGTGGTGGCAGAGAAAAGCCCGCGGGAGGGTGCAGGAGGCCTCAACGTGACTCCTGGGGGTGGAACAGACAAACCGCCGCCGCCGCAGCGAGACCACCCTGCAGGAGCGTGACCCCACACGCAGCTCTGGCTGGCTGTAAGCTGGCACCACCCTCTTGCGCACAGGGACCTTTAGGGTTTCTGTATCATGGTGAAGCTCAGGCCCAAGACAGGCACGGAGGGGCCCCTCTGGGCTGACGCTGCTGTCCACAAGGCCCAAGGCCTGCGCCACCTTGCTGGACTCCCTACCCACTCCCCTGGGTGTGCTCGGCCCAGTGCCAGGCCCCACAGCCGGCCCCAGAGGGAGGCGCTGTTTCCTCCAAATCCAAACCAGTAGGAGAAAGCCTGGGGTAGGGGGGGATCTGACGAGGCAGAGTCTCACACAGGCCCTTACCTGGGCAGCGCCCCAGTATCCCCCTTACAGGGCCTGGCGTTCCTGAGGCCAGCGTGTGGCCCAGAGCCTGCATCTCTCCGGCTCCCAGGAAACCATCCCTGTTCTGGGACCAGGGTTCCCACTGGGAAGGAGGCTGTAGAGACTGCTCCCGCTGTGCTCAGCCATCTCAGCCCAGGAGCAGGGTGCGGCACCCTGCCTGGCATCTGGCACATAAACCAACAGTGCCGGGGAGCCAGGATGCCTGGACACGGGCTTCTCAGCCCAGCAGCCTTCATCCAGTTTCTCTTAAGTGAGTGTGCACTCTCCCTACCCAGCCCCGCAGGTGGTCCAGCTCCCCACAGAAGCAACACCTGGCCTAAGGGCTCCCAGCTGCACCCCCTACCCCAAGAGGAGCTTGGAATCCGTGACGCCCCAGGTCAGAGGGCCTGGGTCCCCGTGGCCCCAGGGACTGCAGAGCTGGCCACTCACCGTGCTGGACTTGAGCTCATCCCCTGTCTCCTCATCGGACTCCAGTGCCACAGGCAGGGACTTCTGGGGTGGGGAGAAGGTGAGGTCCCAGCGCAGCAGCCGGGGCTCGGGCCGGTCCCCCAGCCGCAGGCTCTCCAGCTTCTGCACCATGGGCTCCGCAGAGGCCGGCCTGAAGTTCTCCTTGTTCTGGGACTTGGGCCTCAGTCTCTGCAGTCCAAAGCCCCTATCCTCAGGGGCACGCCGCTCGCCACCTGCGCCCCGGCTGTGGCGCCGCCTCTGGGGGTGCACCTCCTGTGAACCCGAGTCCATCCTCAGCAGCGGCTTCATCTCCAGCTTGTAGGTGCTGGGCTGCTCCTCATCTGGCTCGGGCAGCTTGGCACCCCCAGAGCTGGGGTTGCTGGCCCGGTGGTGGGAAGTCCACGAGAATGTGGTGGGGGACTCCGTCCGCCGCTCCCGGGGCTTGGGGTTCCCGGGCAGCTTGTGGCCTGAGCTCCGGGTGCGGAAGTCCTCGGCTGGGTGGCCACTGCGCAGCGCACCACCACGGACGCCCCTGGAACCACCAGCCTTCTCCTCGCCCCAGCTGTTGCGGGCGTAGTCCCCTCCCCGGCCCTCCACTAGCATCTGGATGTCCCCGCCCCGCTCCTCGTCCACGGAGACCTGCCGGGAGAAGTGGGCCACCTTGTTCCTGGAGGCGGGGGGTGGGGGTGTGGCCGCAGGGCTGGCGGGGAAGCTGTGCAGGGGGCTGTCGTCGGGGGTCAGGTCAGAGGGGGTGGTGCCCTTGCGGTACAGCTCAGGGCTCTCCTGCTGCAGGGGGCTCCCGGTGGACAGCACCTCGATGTCGTCGCAGGAAACCTGGTGCTGCGGCCTCTGGTACTCGAGCCCTTGGAGGAGAAGCACAGAGGTCACCCCGAGCATGCCAGAGGGGAGGGGGTGGGGCCCTAGCCTCTCTACCAGCTCCACACATGCTCCAGATGACCCTTGGCTACCACGGGGCAGAGGACAGCGCCTGCCTGGTCCCCTGATCTCACGCTGGCTGACCTGCAAGATGCCAGAGCCTGCCGAGGTCCAGTTACTGCCCCCTGCCTGCTGGGACAGGACCCCTGTACCCCAGGAGGAGGAGTCAGGCCAGGCCGCCCTGGCCATTCCTGCAGGAGTCCCAGAGACGCTGGGTGTCCTTCCAAGGCTTCCAGAGGCAGGGTGCTCTGGAGAGGAAGGAGTAGACCTGGGCGCCTGCAGGAAGGGCCCCCGCCCAGAGGTGGCCCTGTCCCAGGGGCCCTGACCCAGGCTCCCGGGATGCGTGTGGGGGAGTGGAGCAGGCCATTTCTGGGAACCCCTTGGGTGCGTCCCTTTTAGTAAATAGTCACACACATGTCATAGCCTGTGCAACCCGAGCAGGAGCCCAGGCTTGCCACCTCTGACCTGTCACAGAGCTCTGCCAGAGCTCTCACACAGCCACAGCCAGGACACCGAGAGAAGCCTGACGCCTGGCCGTTCTCCTGCCTTATACCCCAGGGCTGATCTCTGGCAGGAGATGGGGGTGGGGACACAGCCCTGAATGGGCTCAGGGCAGGGCAGCGACCCCCCAGTTCTGTGTCCCTGTCCTCTGTCCGAGTAGATTGGGCGATATGGAGGGCGTAGTGACTGCCTCTGAGGCCTTGGAACCAGGGGCAGGACTGAGGCTGCCATGGTTCCTCTACACATAGGGTACCGGCCCAGCGGGGTCTGTGCAGAGCTGTGCTGGGATCACATAGCCCTCGGCCCAGCACTGGGCCCTCCCGCCACACCTGCTTTCCTCTGGGCCACAGTTGGAGCCTCCTCGGGCAGCAAATGGAGCCAGAGGCCCAGTGAGGCCGGATCGGCTCCGGTGGGTCCGGAGGCACGGTGCTGTGACTGCCAAGTCCTGGGTCTGGACCCCACATGGGGGACAGTGGTGGCCCTGCTGCCCTCTTCAGGCTGCTGAGGCTTGGCTCCAGTGGCCCCTGAGGCTGCCTGTGCCTGTCACAAGGAGAACAGGTGCTTCCCGAGGAGGCAGCTTCAGACTCAGGACACTAGTCCAGGGCCACCCTGCAAGCTCCACATACAGGGCAGGGCCCTAGAACAGCAGAGGCCCAAAGTCCAGCCGTACACAGGGCTGGCAGCTCCTGGGGCTCGGAGAGGACTCGGGCCCGGGCCTCTGCAGCTTTGGGGACCCCGGTGTTCCTGGGCTGTGCCAGTATCTCTCTATCTGTCTTGTCTATGCTGTGCTTTGAGGACACTTGTCATCCGATTCGGGCTCTGTGCAGTCCCAATGATCTCATCTCCAGGTCTTTAACCTCAGTTGCACCCGCAGGGCTTCTTCCAATAAAGCCGGGCCAAGGCGCCCAGCTAGCTCAGTTGGTAGAGCATGAGACTCTCAATAAAGCTGGGCTAGGGGCTGCTGAGAGGTGGGCACACCTCTCAGGGTCTTCGATGGTGTGAGCCCCTCCTGTTCTTCACAGACGGGGACACGGAGTCTCTAAGAGGGGATGAAATGGGCCTTGGCAGTGGAATCGGATAATGACACGCAGGGCTGGAGCCCGGGTGGCCACGGGCCGGGGACTGTGGCACTGAGCAGCACTTTGGCCCACACACTGCCTGTGGCTTGCCCAGTGGGGCCAGTCCGAGCCGCCCGAGACCCAGCAGCTCTGATCCTCCGAGCCTAGGGTGTCCAGGGTTCCAGAGCACAAAGACCTGGACCAGAGCCACCTCTCACCCTGGCAGGCAGCCGAGGCTCCTCCAGCGGGGACCAGGCGGAGCCCGGCCAGCAGGGAGAGGGCAGAGGAGGTGGGTCTTGGGTGCTCTGTCTTGCAACTTTCCCTCCAGGCTCAGCGTGGCAGGCTTCGCAAGACCTTGCTCAGAGAAGGGACAGACGCGGGAAGGGAACAATGGCCCCTTTCACGTCCAAGCCTGAGCACCCAGGGAGAGGTGATGGTGGCTGCCATAGGTGATGCCAGAGCTGACACCCAGAAGAGAGACAGCGTGGCGCTCCACCCTGACCGCGGCTTCCTATCTGGCTGCAGTGGCCAGCTCAGGACTGCACGTGGGACCGCAGATGCTGCCTCCCACTCACCCAGCAGGTGTGGCACGTGGGGAGGAGGTGAGGACCTAACCCCATTCTTTGGGGCCTCAGAGCGCACATGAGGCTTCCTACAGAGGCCATGGGGCAGTGTGCAACAGCCTGTGAGACTGGGGTGGGCCTCTGGCCGCTGCATCCCTCTGCCCCAGTGCTCTGGTGGGGTGCGGACCAGGCCATGGGAGAGGACGCTGCAGCACTGGCCTGCAGACGGGAGGCCCAGCCCCTTTCCTGGGGTGCAGCAGCGACGCACCAGCATCTATGCGCATGGCAGCCCGGCCACACGCCGCTGTGCGCGTCTCACAGCAGGGGCTCACAGAAGACCTGGTCTCTGGCTCCAGCCGAAGGTCACTTGGGGCTGGTGGCTGCCATGGTGGATGGAGCAAATGGCACCTCATCCTCACAGGAAGTTCCAGGGTGACATGGGCGGGGCACAGACACGTGGGACAGGCATGCACGGAGATGTGGACACACACTCACACGCGTGTGCTAGGCCATGCCCAGACAGTCAGTTTGAGAAGGGAAGGGGGCGCTGGTCAGACGTCTGCTCTGTGCAGAGCCTGTGAGCCTGGCTGGCCTTGGGGATGTGTCTGCTGCCCTGCCCGCCCGAGCTGCCCGTCAGCCAGTGGGACTCACCATTTTCCCGGTGCTGGAAGGAAGGCGAGAACTCTTTGGCAGTGATCCTGGCGATCCGAGCTTCCTCCTGGGCTTTCTGAGCCGCTGTGAGGGCTGCCTCGGCCTTGGCCCGCGAGTGCGAGGTCCTGGGGACACGGGCACAGTGACAGGGAGTGAGGCCAGCCCTGGGGTCGAGGCCAGCGTCCACCTCTCAGCAGCAGGCTGAGATGGAGGCCGGGCGACCTTGTCCACCCTCACCCTCAGGATCCTGTTCATTCATTCACTCATTCGTTCATCCCACAAACATTGGTACCAACCAGCCAGCCTGGGCGTGGGGCACGCTGGGAATGTGTCTGCTCTTACTGTCCCCAAACACCCTTTGCATGTGCATGAAGCCCCCACACTGGATGAGGCCACACCCACAGCAGGCTGATTCATGCAGCCACCAGCAAGTGCCACTGCAGGGGCTGCTGGACACCCTCCTGTCACCCAGCTCAGCCAGGCTCCGGGAGTGGGCACAGGGTGACACCCAGGACTGCCGATGGCCGAGCCCGGAGGGCCGTCCTGCCTCTTGAGACAGAGGCTGGACAGGTGCACAGGCCTGGAGTCATCTCCCCATCACCGGTCCTCAAGACCCCTAGACAGAGGCGCACTGTCCCCACAGGTCTCCCCGGAGCCTTGGAAAAGCCCGGCCAGTGGCTCGCAGCCCCAGGACATCTTCACCGCACTGGAGGCTGAACCCCAAGGCCCAGTACTGGCAGGTCCCCTGTCTGAGGAGGACCCGCTTTCTGCCCACAGCTGCACCTCCTCCCTACATCCTTGAGTGGAGGAAGAGGCAGGCCGCTCTCCGGGCCTCCTCTTGTAAGGGCGCTGACCCCACCCCAGGACCCCTTGTCAGCCCCCAGTTCCTGCTCCTAACACGAGTGCAACCAGGGACACACGCCCAGCCTGCCCCTCTCCCGCGGTGCTTGGCGATAGTGGCACTGGGCTACCCCGAGCCCTGCATCCTTCCCTCAAACCCACCCTGCTAACAGGAGCAATTCCACTAGAAGCAGATAAAGCTATATCCTACGCATGGACACAGAAATAGAAGTCCTAGCTGCTAAGGACGCCGGGCCCTGCTGCCAAGTTCCCATGAGTGTCTGCTGCCCCGGGTGGGCACCCCCACCGGCTCTCCTCCCCGAATTGCGCTGGCACAGGCCCCGGAGAGTGAAGAAAATGCTTGTGCCAAGACTTAGCATTGAGAAAACTCTGCCTCACTGGTGGTTTCAGTGCCTGGAACTGGCAAGGCCAGCCACCTCAATACCACGGTGAGCCTGTGTCCCGAGGGCACGAGACGGGACCACGCCTGTCCAGAGGCCCCATGGGAGGAGGCCTGTAATGACGGGCAGCCCTGCAGATGGGCTCTTCACAAAGCTCTGGTTGGTACCGGACGACCGTCAATGGACGATGAGCCATCACCAGGACCTCCAAGAGGCCCCCGCTCCCTCCAGGGTCCCTGAAGCCCCCACGCGGGGCAGCGGCGGGAAACGCTCCGTGTACCTTGGGGCTCAGAGCATGGGGCCTTTGTGAGGGTCCTGCAGCCTGGAGACTCAAGGCCTGCATAAATGACCTTGCCCTGCCCCAAGTACAGTGTGCCTGGCTCTTGCGGTGCCTGAGTCAGACACCTGGTCTGAGGGCAGCCTGCCCCAGGGAGAAGCAGGGGCTGAGCTGGGGCATCCCGGCAGCCAGAGCTGCATGGGGCTGGGAGGGAGGTGCCCTGGCCAGCAAGGTGGCACTGACTGACTCCTGACTGACTCTTCCTGACTCAGCCTCCTGAGTTCTGGGATTCTGTGCATCACACCTGCCTCTGGAAATAACATTGGGGTGCTCAGGACTATGCCACCACCATGGTCACCTTCCTCACCCAACGAGGAACCAGGAGCCCCAGCCTCCTACCCCAGCCTCACCCATGAATCTGCCTACTCTGGACATTTCCTCTTCTCCTTTACTCTGGAGGCGAAATTCCCATCACATGAAGTGAATCATTTTAAGGTGTGTGATCCCACGGTGTCTACACAGTCACAGTGCTGTGCCCCGGCGCCTCGAGGTCCTGCAGCCACCAGCTGCTGTTCCGACCCAGAGCCTCCCTGCTGGGGGATCAGTCAGTGAATGAACACAGAAGGTGCGCAGACGGGGCGCCCAAAGCTGGTCCAGGGGAAGCAAGGACCTCAGCATTTGCCTGCGAAGCTGCTGTGTCCTGGGACGGCCACCACGCAGTACCCACGTGGCAGGTGACGCAGTCTGGGAGTGAGGGGCCCGTGTCAGGTTAGTGGCCAGGGTGGCGCTTGGCTCCTCCTTGGCTCAGCGCCTCACCTGTCGCAGGGCTCAGCCTGGGACCCTCCCTCCTGCCAAGGAGCAGAGGCAGCCGGCAGGTGACCCAGGGATGAGGTAACCCACGGTCCTGAGGAGAGCACAGACCGGAGCGATCCACGCCTGGGACCCATGCCAGAGAAGACAGAGCCACTTGGGCACGGGGCTCCCTGGGGGCCAGGGCAAGTACAGAAACCCCACCGATCCCCACAGTGAGGTGTAGCCACAGCTAACAGAACAACTCAGCAGCCCAGCCCTACACTTAGAGGACGTTCCTGGTGGCCTCGTGGGTCACCAGGCCTGGGGGGAGGAGGCCACACAGAGGACGCTGGGTGACATGCATGGGGCAGCCCAGTGTGGCTCCGTGGGGTGAGGCAGGCACCCGTCATCCGAGGTCCTCTTCCCCACAACAGCAGGGCACAGCTTCTCTGCTGCTGCCAAAGGCGGCTCCGTCTCTGGTGGCAACAAGTGCAGGTGAATGCGGAGCCCTTGGGGCTCTGCACAAGAGGCGCGGTCACCCCAGAGATGCGTGGCACAGCCAGGCCTGACAGGGACACCAGGCAGACCAAGCTGGTGCAGGAGGAATGGGGCCGTCAGAGCCTTCCCTGAGCTGCGGCCTGGTCCACAGCGGGCAAACCATCAGGGCAGGACAGCTGTGTACAGGAGGAAGTTACTGGGACAGAAAAGTAGACGCGATGTTTTCTGAGTTTCGCCTCTGGTGGGTCCTCCCTCACAGGACAACACAAGGGCTCGATTCTTCTGATCGGCCACCTCCTCCCCAAAGGCCAGGCCTCTAAGAATCCTTGAGTGGAGGAAGAGGCAGGCCGCTCTCCGGGCCTCCTCTTGTAAGGGCGCTGACCCCACCCCAGGACCCCTGGTCAGCCCCGAGTTCCTGCTCCTAACACTTGTGCAACCAGGGACACACGCCCAGCCTGCCCCTCTCCCGCGGTGCTCGGCAGTAGGTTCCCAGGAGGCAGGGGCAGCCAGAAGGTGCTGCTAATTTATGTAATCAAAACCACAGCTCTGGAGAGCAGACTCCCCAAGTGGTAGGCCCTGCAATGCTGCAGCAGCTGTGCCCATGAGCCCCCAGGTCCCTCGCACAGGGACTCCATGACCAGCACTGGGCGCGCTGCGCAGACTCCATCCACTACGCCAACAGTGATGAAGGAAACCGGTCAGGACCGCAGTGCACAAGAAACAACAGGCTGTCCTGCGGGCAAGCACTGCCTGCCACCACCAGCACCAAGCGGAACACACAAAGGTGAGGATGCTGCCGGAGGCCAGGGCCGTCCTTCGTGGCCCTCGGGGGCCGTGGGTGTGGGTCTGAAGCCCTGGCACGCTGAGCCCAGGCTGCGTGGCTCTGTCTGGGCACCTCCTAAAGGTGGCATTTCTCACGTGTCCCCAAAGGACACTTGGTCCACAGACTCCAGCAGCGGCCAGCCTGCCCACACCTGTATGCTGGCCAGGGAGACCCGTTGTTGGGGTTCAGACCTAGGGGTCCCCAAGAGCCTTGTGAGCTCCCAGGGGGCTTCTGGAGCTGAGCTGCGGCTGGGAGGTGGGGACTAGCAGAGAGAGGTGGGGTGGGGCGTGGCCTGGGTGCCTGCCTCCCTCCCTCCTGGCTGCCTCCCTCCCCCTCCTGTCTGGCTGCCCTGCCTTGGAGCCGGCTGACCATGGACTGAAGCCGCTACAAACCTGGCGCCAAAATCAAACTTGCCTTCCTAAAGTTGCAGTGTCAGGCAACTTAGGGACACCCTGCCTTAAAATGAAGCACCGAAGAGGGAGACCAGGAAAGTCAATAGGATGTCCATTCTGACCAACCACAGGCTGGTGGGAAGACGTGTGTACTGTCTGAGCCTCGGAACCCATCAGCAGCGTGGGACACTCACGCTGGTGTCCTGGCTCTGCCTCACTCCTCTGAGCCCAAGTCCTGTGTCATGGGCAGCTATGGGACTGTGGCAGGGCTGCGGGAAGAAGTGAATCCACCCTTGTCTCTGCTGGCAGCCTGGGGCTGTCGTTCCTCACGGAGACCCTTCTGACGCAGTGCAGGGGCTTCTGCCTGTGCCCCCTGGCCTGGGTATGCCTGTGGGCTTGGCTTGATTCTTGACTCAGGAGGACAGCCAGGCCGAGGAAGTGACAGGTGCTCTTGTCCACCCGCCAGCCAGCAGGGCGTCAGGGCTGGTGGGACAGTCAGCAGGGGAGAAAGCTCTGGAGCTGGGGACCCAAGCACTGGCCACTGCAGTGTCCAGCTTTGACCTTCTGGGGGCTCTGGTGCGTCCCTTCCTGTCACTCCTGGCCACGCCACTCCTGCCAGCAGCAGGCCCTGCTAGGTCCCACGCCCAACCTCATAGTTCTCAACTCAAGCGGCAAGAGGGCCCAGGTACCTGCAGATTGGCCGGCTCCTCCCCGTGGCCACCCTCTCACGGAGGGCTGGGCTCCTTGCACAGCGCTCACTGTGCAGGTCTCTTCCACCTCCTGGGGTTCCACGCGCCCCTCCCTATACGTTCCCAGCACTCATCTCAGCCCCACAGCGGAGACGAGAGCCCAGGTCCCTGCTCAGGCTCCTCTTTCCTGCTCCTCCTGCCCACTCTGAGGCTCAGGAAGGAAAGCCAGCACCAGCCCACAGGGACAAGGCCTCTTCAGGGGTGAGCAGACAACCACAGTTTCCTTGAAGAAAAGCTGGTGGGCGAGAGCCAGAACACGGGGACAACACATGCAGGAAGTGCCCGCCAGGACCAGGAAGTGCCCGCCAGGACCAGAAGTGCTGCCAGTGTAGGGCCGTCCTTTCATTACCGTT